CACACACCCCCCCCCCCACACACACACACACACACACACACACACACACACTCACACACACAGATACACATGCAGGTCCACACACTACACACAAAATCATGCATGCGTGTACCCATATACCATACACATGCATGTATAAAAATGAGCATGCACACACATTTATGTGTACACATATGTGTGCACACCCTTATGCATACACATTTAATCTCCTCTACTTGAAACTAGTGAAGAGTTATCTACTCCAATATACATATGCATAGTTTAACACAAAATCTAATAAATATATTATTTTTAAACTTAACTGAATAACATTATATGTAGCTAATTTTTACACTATCCCATTTGAGAGCTCTGTAAAGAATACTGTGACTAGCCAAACATAATTCAGGTAGGGAGGGAGGGTCACTCCTTTTCATCTCAACCTTTGTCTTAAGCTACCATGATTCTTAGCAATGAGTGCTAATAATATGATACCATTTCCTGATATTTTCACCACCATATGTCACTCCTCTTCTTGCCTCTACTTCACAGTATCAAATCAGTGAGCATCACTTACTTTTCCTCATTGCTTTTCTTCTCATTCTGTAGTTCTATAAATAGCACAAACAGTTTGGGGTAACAACTTAATAACAATGTTTTCTGTTAAAAAAATGGTGTTTTTCGAATCTATTTTGTTATTTGTTCTGATTGTTCTCCTTTTAATTGCATTATTAAATAAACACTTAAATAACACATACACTACACCAAACATTAATCTAGATAATCTAAATGGAATCTCTCTTTGATTTATATTCACTGCAGTTTGCTTCCACTCAGGCTTACCAGAAAGAATCTTATCAAATAATGCAGTTTCATTGCAACCTATCATCATGTAAGTGTAAATTCAGATTGTAACAATTGAAAAGTACCCTTAACTTAAGTCTAACCTATAATTCATTTTTGAACACTTAAAGAAAAGCTTGAAGTAAGCCTATTTTTGGCTTGATCCATAATCACCTTTTGGTTTATTTCTGATTTTTTGAGAGAGGCTCTGATCTTGAGTTCATTGTTATGATGCTTCTGTCTATGGCTTGTTAGCGCTTAGGCTGCTGATCAAATGTGTAGTACTAGCCAACTTTACAAAGCATGGACAGTGATGGTGAACACAACTCTTGGGGTGCTTTAAGGTTGTAATTTCCTTTTCACTTATCACTGTATTCTTCTATTCCTTCACATTAATTCAAGATGAAGATTTGAATGCAGAACTAAATTAGGAAAATTACCTATCCACCAGGTCCATACTCCATAGGACAAGCATTGGGTCTGTTTCACAGTAACAACTCAACAAAAAGTAACTACACCTGAGACTCTTCTACTCAGAAATCCCAATTCAAATGTTTTTGGATAAACTTCAAGCATACAGAGTTGAGCTATGTACTTTGAGTTTCAGTTGGCATGTGCTGGAAGAAAGTGCAGGTTATGGAATATTTTAAATCTATTTTATATAACTAAGCTGATCAAAAAGAAAGATGGTGATCTTTACACTGAGAGTTTTTTCCTGACATTTTCCAAAACCTTTTCCAAGACAATGTGATCCAAATGTGCCATCAAAAGGAAACAATAGTGATCCTGATTTCTATTTCTAAAACAATAATATGCACCAAAGTTATATAGTTTTAAACCTATGTATTGATGATTAACAACTTTAAAGATAGGAAATGATGTAACAACATTAAACAAATCAAATAATTTGAAAATGTGTCTCATTTATTGTTTGGTCTTTAACCTCATTGAGCTCATCTTTTTAAAAATAAGTTGATAATGATTCATATAAAAAATTAATCATAAGGCTAATAATGTAAGGATGACAAAATACCTACCAATAAGTTTGAAAGTAATAAATTATCTTTTCTGAGTCACAAGATGGGCCTCAGCATCTATCTGAAATGTCTACCTTTGCGTTATAAACATAATGACCTGCATGATATTTTTTCACTATGCGATGTCTTTGTACTTATTAAACCTTAAGGTCACTCTTTTTTCACAGGACTCTCTTAAGTTCTTGTTCACTTATTATCTATCTCCTTTCCTTTATATGTCTTATAAGGTTTGCATTGTATTTATTTCTCAAAAATAGTTTCAAATCATTGTTTAGCCAAGGTAGGAGAAAAATCAATCAAGGAGCTATCTTCAGGCAGCAGGTGTTTCAGAGCACAGCTGATCTTATTCATTTTAATCAGTGGTGGCAGTGAACCCCCAAGACCTAGACATCCCTTCAGCATCAACTCCAATGTTTAGCAGCAGGACACCACCTCAAAGTCTTCATGCATCAATCCATACTCAGAAAAATATTATAAGCTAATTTAAGAAACTTCTCTGTAAGACACTGACCTTTGATCTCTCTCTTATTTATTGATTTTACCCCAGCTGTGAGCTCTAATTCTAGTTTGTGTTATTAATAGAGTCACACTAATGATTGCTGCTGTACAGAGTTTCTGTGTTTAGTCTTTAGTTATTTGGGTGTATACAACTTATAGCTGACTATAGCTAAAATAAGGTTTCTTTAAATTGTGTTTCTCTTCAAATTAGAGTTGCATGTGCAAGAAAGTTTGCTTTGTAGCTGACCTATGTGGGGAAATGATGCAGACTCACAGCTCTTAGACCAAGGTGCAGCACTGCCCCAAAGTTGGCAAGTGTTCTTATAGTTTGCATGTTCAGATGTGTACATGTGATACCCTTTGGTGTGTCTGCGTAAACCACATTTAACTCATGCATGCATCCAGGAGAATTCAATGCCTGAAGACAGACAGAATGGATAAATACCAAGCCAGCAGAGGGAGCTCGTGGTGGGCCCCAAGTGCATGACAGCAGGATGAAGGCAGGAAAGGTGACCTGGTGGCTCACAGGCTGGCTTCAGTCATTTCAGAGTCACTTCTTTCCCATTCAGCATTTTTTCTAATGCTCTTCTAGGAGGCGCTGGGCAGGCCACAGTTTCATGATTCCAAATACCCTACTCATTCATAGCTGAGATAGACTTTTTAATTCTTTTTAATCTTGAGAACCTATCTTTTTATTTAAAAACAATCATTTTACATATCAAATCATTTCCCCCACAAGTCCCTCTCCCTCTGATCCTTCCAAGGTGAGGCCTTTCATGGGGGATCACAAAAGTCTGTCATATCATTTGGGGGAGGGCCTAAGCCCTCCTCCATGTATCTGGGTTGCAATAGTATCTCTCCACAGGGAATGGGCTCCTGAAGTCCATTTCTGCACTACTGGATGAATACTGGTTCCCTTGTTGAAGATACCATAGATTGCACAGGCCTCCTAACTGGCAACCACATTCAGAGGATTTGGTCCAGTCCAATGCTGGTTCCCCAGCTTTATGACTGGGGTCCCTGTGCTCTCACTAGGTCAGGTCAGCTGGTTCTGTGGGCTTTTTCAGCAAGGTCTTGACTGCTTTGCTCAACCTTCCCCCATCTCTACAACTAGATTCCTGGGGTATGACTCAGTGCTTAGCTGAGAACCTATCTTTGCTTCACTGTCAGATGTAAAGTTGCCTTTATTATTCATACTCATCCTGGAAAGAATACCTGATGCTACCCATTCCAGTCTTCCTCCTATACTGAGTATTTTTAGCATCCTGAACACTGTTATTGTAAAGAGTTTAATACTATTGTAATTCAACTGCTTTCAGGGATTTCTATACCTTTGTTTATATTCAGGAACTAGCAGAGTCTATTTACATCAGGTTAAGATAGAGATTATTTACTGTCAATAAAAATGAAAGATTCATGGAAAACTATACAAGCAAATTAATCATATTCTTTAGGACAGGCTAGATTCTGTGGTACAAAAATTCCTAGCCACTTAAGATTAAGATTTTTCTCTGAAAGCAGTCACAGATACTTGTCTAGGAGTTCAGGATGCTAGCTTTCTGTCTGTCACCCTCTTATCTGACTCTTTCATAAACTGTTCACAGGCATTTGGGACATTTGGGAAGAAATACAATTTGTAGAATAGCTGATTAAGCAACTCAATCACATGACTCCACATGACTGCAAGTACAGAACTCTCAGGAAGTACAGAAAAGTCTTTTGTTACTGAAGGCTCTGCAGTAGGGTCCAACAAACACAGAAAAATCTCAACACTTTGAAAACTAGGAATCTAATTGTACAACGTGACAATGTTGATTCCCTTTCTATAGAGAAATGTCAGAAACAAACCTGGAGAACAGCTAAATTCTCCAGCATAGTAAGAGGCTATACAAATATCTCAAGTCCTATGTTTTCTCCCCTTTTAAATTTCATTCGTTTCCAGTTTTCACGATGCTACTGACAATGGCCTGAATTAATGCTTAAGAACTTTGCAAAAATGGGAAATTATAATTTACTTTTGCTTGTGTAACACACATGGTCATGGGAATTGCAGATAGAAACCTCCCAAGAAAGGGGAATGCTGTGAATATCACTATGAACCAAGAGACGTTGGTTCATATCCTATTAATCGCTCCTATTCCCAAACTGCTTATATCTAACATTAACTTATGTATTCACACAGCCACAGCCTGTGATGGAAGATTTTTGTTAACGGGAAATTCTGGGTCTTTCCAAGCTGACCGTTACCCAAGGCCGGGCGGGTCAGGTGTTGCTTGCCGCTGGATCATCAGGTAAGAGACCATTGTCTTTGTCCTGATGTTCAGTCTAAAAATCTTCCAACATAGAATTCCTCTTTCTACAGTATGGTTAAAATAGTTACATTTTTCATTAACTACCAACCAATAGATTGTATCAAAGTTCCTCTTTCAATCTTAAACTTAAAAATTACTCTGCACCAAGAAAAACTTTGTCTAAGATAATTCTAAAAGCAGCAGTTTACTGGAATCTAAACTACCACCGCAAAACAAATTTCAGACATGATGGTCAGGCATAATATAGTCAATTAAATAATTTAACCTTTCTCTTTTTAAAACTAATCACTATATGTCCCCACCTCCCTAAGATCAAAGCACAAACTTTCTGCCATATCTACTTAACTTACACTTGCAGAATTATAAATTTATTGCCACAACATAGTAACTCAACAAAACTAAAACTTTGCAGTCAACTCATCTTATTTCTTGTGATAAACTATCACTAGAAGTTACACTGACATCATTCAATCCATGATCATATTATAGTGATATTATACAAATATTAGAGAATACAAGAATGAGTCAATGGATCTGACTTAGAGTCACAGATTTTCTGATAAACAAGATAGCAAGTATGTGTCTAACGCTTCACTGATGTTGTTAAGATTAGATGAAGTGAAGTCACAAAAGTGGAATGTATATATTTCGGGATATCTTTATTCGGCCACAGAAAAGGAAGGGTTTCCTATCCAAGTTTCATTGTTGAAACTTGAGAGCATTAAATGAAATAAACTAACCATGCAAGATAAATCCTTCATAATTTCAATTAAGTGAAGTACTTAAAATTGCTAAATTCCTAGAAGGAAGTAGATTAACGTTAACTCAGGCTGGAGGGGCAGAGCAATGGGAAGGTTTTGTTTAATGAATACACGGTTTCAATTGTGCTAGATGACAAGGCCCTAAATCTGTGTTTTGGTAGTAGTTACAGGACTGGGTTGTGTGGTTAAATCTGTATGATGGCTTACACCATATGCTTTGTCACAGAATGGAAAATACAATCAAATTGCAGAATGCATTGAGATTTATCACAGCTTAAAATCTTTTATCCTTTTTTTCTTTGAATTTAGTGTAAACCAAGGACTGTCCATTAGAATCAGCTTTGGATCTTTTGTTTCACATTATACAGATGTGTTAGATATTTATGAAGGTATAGGACCCAGCAAAATTTTAAGAGGTAAGTTAAAACAAAAAACAAACATATAGTTGATTATAACAATGAAAATAAATAGGAAGCCATGAGAGTGATAGTTTCTCTTTGAATTTTGGTGAGAATATTAAGCTGACCTTTAAGTCACTACAATTAAGATGTCTGTCATCTGCTAAAATTAGGAAATGAGTACTGTATGTTGTCTTTTTTTAACAGTAAAACTAGTGTATTTAAAAGGTGAAATTAATGATTTTGTTAAATCACGTGTCATTCATTGTTTAAATGTTGATCCCATTTTTTTTAAATCGAATAACCCTTAATATTGCATTCTCTTTTTTCATAACACTACATAGAACAGTTTGCCATTAGTACATAGACAGTGATGGGGCTGGGAAAAGGCAGGAATTGACTGGTGGTTCACACCAGACCCATGAACTTTATTCCAATTGGCCTAAATTGCATAGCTTGATCATCACTGAGAATGAAACTAGAGGAAAAGTTCAGAAAACTGAAATAGGAATGAAGCAGGTAACCTAGAATAGAACACAGAATAGTCAGCTTTCCTCACAACTGTGAGGAAATAAAATAAGTTTCAAATAATTCTTCATGCTAAAGATTAGTGATCTCACCTTTGAATTGTATGAGTGATGGAAAATGATTCTGATCTCCTTAAAGGCTTTGATTGATATGTTAATGTTAAGTATTTAAGCATATCCCAAAGATACATACCTTTATTGCATAGTATTGATCTAATATTATAGTGAATAATCTGTATAGACCTTCTAATTTAATATTGTCAATACGATTGTAAAATACACATAACAGAAGAGTAAAGTGAGGTAAAGGGGAGCAAATTAAGTTCAGAGTGAGAATGTTAGAGGCAGACGTCAACACAAAAACTTTGTAGCTTTAAATACAGTGTTCTAGCAGTCCAAGTGAAGCATGGGAATGGGGATGCACACAACACATGAGATCATTCACTTAAACAAATGGAACAGTCAGCTGATAATCTGTTTCTGTAGCTTATAACTTCAGTTCCTTTTTGCTGTTGTTCTTTTGTTTTTTGAGACAGTTTCTCTGTGTAACAACCCTGGCTATCCTGGAACTGACTCTGTAGAACAGGGTGGCCTGGACTCACAATCATCCACCTACCTCTGTCTCCCAAGTGGCTGAGGAAGAGTAGATGTGGTGGGAGTGTGCAGAATGGAGCCGGGGAGGGAACAGACAGAGAGGTGGGAATTGAACCTGTGGTTGGTGTGTAAAATAAATAATAAGAAGAAACAAAAACAACAGCAACAACAAAAGACACCTGCAGTTCCTTAACGTAAAGATGGACATCACACAGATGGTTAAATACCATGACTCAAAGGAGTATCACCAAATTTAATACCCCATCAGTAAACATTAGTTAGAATCATCCCTGACAGTGTGTAAATCAGTTTCAGTCATCTCAATAAGTGCCTCCCAATTCACATAAAGTATAAGAACATATATCATGCTGATGATAGATGTAACTTTCCTGTAGATAGTTGTAAAGGCTTCCTGTTCCATTACACTTAAAATACCTGGTGTTTAATTAATGTGATTTTATGTATTTAGCTTTGCAGTTATACAATGAGCAAACATTGAGCTAATTAGGCATGTGGATGTGATAGCTCAAAAGGAATTATCATAATAATGTTATATGAAGCTGATACTCACAGAGAATGAGTTTATGAAAGTTCATTTAAATTGTAACAGTCACTTAAAGATTTTACACAAATATTTCAAATTAAAAACACAAATACATCAATCTTAACAAGAAAATTAGAAAGGTCATTTAAAATTAAAGCACTCACTATTAAATAAAGTTGTTTCTAATATTTAGCATGTGGATTGAATTATAAAAAAAGGGATTTCTTTATTTAAACTTAAGCTAGCAGGTTTATGTTCTTATAATATCATAATATACTGTATAGTCATGGGTCCCAGGTGTATTTACTATAATTTTATATTATTTTTATTGAAAGGTAATGAATAACTTTGTTTTAATTTACAAGTGCATGCTTTCAAAACAACTTTTTACATACTCCTTTAAGAGATGCTTATCAGGAAGTTGTCATTGATTTCTAATTCAGAATATAAAGTAGAAACACAGTTTTTATTTTATCATAATGGAAAAAGTGTATCTTTCTTACTTAAATCTGGGAAATTTATCTAAAGAAATTATAATGAAAGAAAATTATCCAGTGTCACAAAATAATTGTTATATGCTCTATTGAGAGTTGTCAAAATAGATAAATTCCAGAGATATTTGTCAGTAAATTTCAGACAGTACTTCTAAATAAGTTGTCAAGAATTTAGATCAAAATCTTGTTCTTTAGGTTCTATTCATGAATACTTGATCTTAATTCAGTGATTTTAATAAATATCAACGTTGAGAATGAAAAGAATGGTCTGTGAACAGAGGGCTCCTTTCCATTAGTGCCTACAATAATCTATAAATTTGGAGGTGCTAGGGTGAACCTAGCACATTGTTCATGCTGGGTAAAGGGCTCTGTTTGAACTACATCCTCAGTTTTGTTGTCTTTAATTTTGAAACGTTTCATGGGCTGGTTTTACTCACCTTATACCACCAGAATGCTTTGTTCACCCATCTAGGACAACAATTCTGTTTCACCAGACTTTGCCAGAAATGTTTTGCCTCCTCAAAAACATGTAATAAACACTGCCTGAAAAATACATGAAAATGAGTTTTTAAATGTCATGTCCTGAAAATATGTTTTTGAGTATCATTTTTTAAATTCCAAATGCTTAGTAAGTTCCACTCCCATAGGGCAGGACAGCTCCCAGTGCTTGGTGAATAGTGCAGTTTGCAATCATGTATAGCATGCTTAAGTGAGCCCAGGTATAGCTACGGAGCAACAAACAACATGGTAGGTTTTCCTGAAATGGCATGTTGTAGTGTAATAAAAACAAGCATACAGCAAATATGGAATTAAATAAAATATATGCAAATGTATTCTAAATAAAGCAGCTTTGATAAGATTTATGCTTTTATTGGTACACTCTTTCTACATTCAAAATACCCATTCACTCACTTTTGTTGATAGTGAGAATTTATATGAAAAAGTTTGTTGCTATTTGAAAAATTGACTCATCATCCCACAAGTGACAAATATCACCTCATAAGACTGCCTGGAAAATTTAAGAATTCTGTCCTGATTAGTCCCATCACATTTTCACCATAGCAAATAATCCCACAGTTATTTTTTATATTAACTAAAATGTCTGTAGTTTTCTAATGAGGCATCTAGTTATTTCTCTGTATCATCAACACATGGCCCCATACTGAATTCACAGTTGGCACTCAAGGCTACATGGTGGGCATCTTTGAAGTCTGCTCCATCATAAACTGATGTTCTAATACAGCCAGAATTTTTCTTATTTAAATAAAAGATAGTAAATATTTTTTATGACATCCGTTGAAATCCAATCAATAGAATATCTGCCATTTCTATCTTTTGACCTCTTTCTAAACACTTTTTTTTATCATTTTCTCTGCATTTTTGTCATGTTTCTCTGCTCTCTTTTCAAAAACTATTCTCCAGAGTTACTTCTGTTAGAAAACTAATGATTATTTGATCAATGATAACTATGTAATCGTATGTAAATTAATATGCACACAATTATAAATTCAGAAACATATTTCTGAAAATTACACTATTGGTTGTAATGTAATATTAGAGAAAACTCAGCTTTTGAGTATTTTTAAGTAAATTTTTATTTCTATAAATTTTCATATACTTTAGGAATATTCAATTACTCTTCTTTATTCCTAGCTTACTACATGTGCTTAATCATCAACTAAATGTGCTCATAGTCTGTCCCTGTGACAGAGCCACACAAAAATTAAACCATGAGCTTTGCTTTACTGGGACTTAAAACTCTAATTGATGAAGTAAGAAAACAATATCACCCATTGAGCATTTACTAGGTGCTAACCACCATTCCACATGGAAATTACCTATTTATTCCTTAGAAGAAGATTTCACAGAAAACAATGCATTGCATCAGGGTAAAGGTGAACAAAAAGAAATAGAGACTAAATTCAACACTGTCTCCAGAGCCGAGGTCTTACATCTTAGCCCTCTGCTACCCTTTTGGATGGGTAGCATACTATCTGGCACTGTGGTTCTGATTCCATTTGAGGTCAAAAGAGTTTTCACATACAATCAATGCTTCATGAAATCTCTATGGATTAATATTCTTAATTTTTGCCAGAGCGTTGCATGTGTACCAAAAGCAGGTTAACGGACTTCATGACCTGAACACTACACCAGATCCTTCCCGTTTGCAAACGTGGCATCTAATACATTGTCAACTAATGTCCCAGCCCTCATTTGATCCTCCAGAAGCTACTGGGTATAAGAATTTTAATGTACAGGAAATGAACACAGTGAGAGGAGAAGGCAGATTGGCTTAAAGCAAAGCTTCTAGAATATATATAATAGATATATAGATATATATATAGAATATATATATGTACATATATATATATATATTAAGTGATTGCAGGAGATCTTTAATTTATGAATCATGCTGGTTATGAGTCACATATATTGCTAGGTCAGAGAGTCACTGTAAGTCTTCATGAGCAAAGCCTGTGTGAAAGACACCTTGTGGACGGAGCATTAATACATGGCTCATTGTTTGATTGTGATGTTTCCACTGGGTTTTGTTGAAATTGCCATGCTAATGGGAAGATGTCCTAATTTGTACATTTCTTCAGTATTTCGTGATTTATTTCTTTAAAAGAAAATAAACGACAATGATTTGTCCTCCCTCCATCTGAAGTTTGACTTTCAAAGGCCCAAATTTCAAACATGCTCCAGATGGCCCATGTAAAATATGTGCTTTTGTGTACCTGAATATTACCCGTTAAAATACATGGGTTTTCCCCCATAAAACACAATTCTGATTCTCCTAAAAGTGATATTACTATCTTTGAAGAGAGACATGGTAAGCTACACAATGTTGTAAAACCATCTCATGTAATGATAATTTTATAAATTATGTGAGTTCGATTAATTCTACAAGCATATCCATGCTTGAGAATTAAAAGTAGAAAAATACAAGTGGCAGAGTTAACGCAGAGCAATAATATAATCAATATAAATACCACAGAAGCAATTTTTACAGTACTGTTATTATGAGGTTTTGCTATTTTATGCATGAGCATACCAAAAGCATGTACCGTTGACTTCACTATGAAGACCCTGCTTTAGCTCTCACTACTGTGGCGTGGGACACAAAATTTACCTTTAGCCCTGTAACTTCTCAACTTGTGGCTTTTAGAGGCACATACCTGATAAAGTAATTCATCTTTTTCTTTCATGGGTAGATATAAAATATGCTTATAATAATTTGTTTGTGATAAAGTAAGTCATCTTTTTCTTTCATGGGTAGATATAAAATATGCTTATAATAATTTGTCATTTTCTTTCATAGCCTCTTTTGTGGAAACTGACCCTGGAACAATTCGAATTTTCTCCAACCTCGTGACAGTCACCTTTCTAATAGAATCTGATGAAAGTGACTACATTGGCTTCAGTGCCACCTACGGCACCTTTAACAGCAGCACCCTTCGCAGTAAGTACTGCTCAGCCTATGCCTCTGGGGATACGGATTTATTTGTAACATCAGCAGAGCCTACATTTTTCTCTATGTGAGCTCTTTCCTAGTTCTTAACTAATTCTCTCTTTACACGAGAGTTAGAAACAAATAATGCATTAAAAGTAGTTTACATTCTTCATAGGAATCAGATGACCGGCTTCAAAAAAAATCACAAGTCAATTTAAAAATTTAAGCATTTTTTAATATTCAGAAAACATTACAAATGAAAGTAGATTAGTACGAACTAATTCTGAAAGAACTCTACATGAAGTTGATTCGATTAAATTACTGAATTTAGTTATAAGGGGAAAGAAGCAGATGGGAAAAGTGTATGTGGGCAAATAGTGGAATCAACCTGAAAAAAATAAACAATATAAGTTTGTTAACGCCCAACAATTATGTAAGAAACATAGTAATTTGTCACGATTGAAACAAGTATGCATTGTAACTTAAACAAATTTTTAAAATAAATAAAACTAATCGTAGTTAAGATTCATAAAAATAGAATGGCAAGCAATTAAAAACTATATAAAGTTGGACTCTTTTCGATTAAATTCACTAAAATTGCTCGTGTTAAAAATTAAATTTGAGAGTTTTTTAATTTCACAGATTATGAGAAAATCGACTGTACTTTTGAAGACGGCTTTTGCTTCTGGACCCAGGACCTCGATGATGACAATGAGTGGGAAAGGATCCAGGGGCCACAGTTTCCTCTCTTCCCTGGACCACGTTTTGATCACACATTTGGAAATGACTCAGGTGTGATTTACATTTATTCATAAAGCAAAACAAAAAGAATGCACTATTACTTCATTTGAATGGAGCTTCGTTGAGTGAAAAAAATATATTTTCCTATTATATTTAAAAGAAAAAATAGTAATCAAATATCTAACTATAGGTGACCAGTTTTTAAAACATCTATCTTTTACCCAGATGTGATGACAAATTGTAATCAAAGGCCATTAGAGATAAGGAAATTAACTGGCAACCATAGCTTTGAAATGATTCATTAGTAAGTGGACTTGCATAAGATAATTGACTTTTGTGATCACTAGCCTGTTTTGCCTTAATTTCATTTTTCAATTATTCATTGTGAATACACAGAAATATAATCTAGTTTTGTATATTTGTCCAGAACTCATAGTCTTGCTGAACTTGTTCACTGGTTCAGATAGTACTGTTTTTTAAAAACACCTTAGAATTTGTGAGTGTACAAATCCAATCAACAGATGGAGATTTTCTTCTGGTAACCACAGGGAAGGGTGACTTGAGAGCATAAACTGCAAAGGAAATCTGTGATGTGTAAAAATATCTTCCTGTGAATAAGATGTAGAAACACTATTGCTGAGGACAATATAATTTGACTAAATAGGAATGATAGGGCTAAGTAATTATTCTGGGATGATACTACTGAGATACGAGAAGTAACACATCTGTAAAACCAATAAACTCAGTGAATAAATGTTACAACTTAGTAAGAATACATGCTGAAAATGTTAAGAAGAAACAATCACATAAGACAGTGTGTGTACATGTGTGTATGTGTGTGCTTATGTGTGCATGTGTATGTATGTAGTGTCATGTGTGTATGTGCACATATGTGTATATATATGTTTTATGTGTGCATATATGTGTGTATGTGTATAAATGGGTGTGTTTATCTGTGTATTCATATGCATCTATGTGTACATGTGTATATATGTATTCACATGTGTGTATGTATAAGTGTGTATGTGTATGTACATGAGTGTATACATATGTGTTTATGTGTGTATATATAGGTGTGTGTATGTGTGTGTATATATATATATATATGTGTGTGTGTGTGTATGTGCATTCTGTATATGTATATGTGTGTATGTGCATACATATTTAGAAACAAATTCATTCTTTGAAATGACTTGTCAATGTCACAGATAAAAACACAGTGCCCAAGAGCCTCACATCAACACTGCAGTTTTCAGGGACTGAAGACACATGCTGCATGTCAAAGTTTGCATGCAACTGCGAGACATCCATGTGAACCCTTTTTGTCATCCAACACTGTGTGCTGACTTACCAGTTTCCTTTGCTATAACATTCCTTACGACAAGAACCTAGTCATTATTATTTTTATCTCACCAACATGTAAAGCTATTTTGAATGTAGAAATGGATGCCTACACCTCTGATTCAATTACCCATTTCCAAATAATTTATGCAATGAAACATATTATAGCACTGAAAGTCTAAGCACATGTACACTGTATATTTTTCTTTTTATGACCTGAAGAGTGAATGGTTTACTTAATGTGAACTGTAACTGACGTACTACAAAAGCACATTGAAAATTTAGTGTTTTTCAAGATAAAAGCCTGTTTAACTCTGGTTCTTTAAACAGAAACTTTCTGATAACAGAAAATACAGTGTATTTCCCTCCTTCAATTAGAGTAAATATTTTATCAACATGACTATATTTAATGCATTTTCACAGCAATCACCAAAATCTCCTTTTTATTTTTTCTTTTATACATTTTGACCCCTAAGTCATATAAAGATACTCATAATACATCTGTGGATTAAAAATAAAAGCATACTTTCTGGTATGATCACATGTTGTAATAAAATTTAAAAATAAGCAGTTACATGAAGAGTACTTTTGGTACATGTGTATGAGAAGCCTGAAAAAAATATAAAGATTTGAAAGTAGAAATGGGACAGGAAGTACTAATTAATACAAGACAATCACTTTGGGTGTCATTGAAGAAGTGACATGAACCAAACTTCTAAGGGACCACAAGAGCCAAAGCACATATACTAGACAAAGGAATCAAAGAGAACTAAGAGAAGAGAAGAGATTGTTGGTCCCTCCATTACACCCACCGGGCTGGGATGCAGTAGGATGGACAGTGAGGCCGCCTGTCTATGAGGAAAAGCCAGTAGGCCTGTTAGGCTGCTGTTGTGTCTCATTGTGGATATATCTGGGTGGCTGGCCCCTAATGTCCTCCTCTCCTTCCCTCCTTGTTCCTTCTCTTCTTATTCTCTCTTGCTCTTCTCTTCTTGCCCCCTCTTCCTTCCCAGATTTTTCCTCCTATTTATTCTCTCTGCCTGCCAGGCCTGCCTGTCCTCTCTCCTGCCTTGCTATTAGCTAGCCATTCAGCTCTTTATTAGACCACCGGGTATGTTAGACAAGCAAAGTAACACAGCTTAACAGAGTTAAATGCAATGTAAAAGAATGCAGCACACCTTTGCATCATTAAAGCAAATGTTCTACAGCATAAGAAAATGTAGCACACCTTAAAATAATTTTCCACACAGGTTTAGTTGCAGTAGGATGGACAGAGAGGTGTTTCTGACGTTGGTTGTCTATGGTGCTATATTTCATGCTGATGATAAGGAGGAACTGGCTTAAGGTCCAGCACAGAGAAGTGCTAGGGTGCGTACTAACCAATAGGACTAGCAGAACTTGTGGAAGGACAAGACAGCGAGAGAGACAGCATTTCCAGACTTCCCATTGACCCAGAGAAGCAGGCACAGGACTTAAATCAGGGAGCAGATATGGTGAGAAGTTAGATTCTGACTGTAGCTTAAAAGGAAAAATAGTTGCAATTAGTTATCATTAGTTATTAATAACTAACAGCTATCAATTGATAGCTGTTATCAGGAAACATTATGTACCATTATAGACATATTCATGCAAATGTGCTTTGCACAGAGGACTGCTTCCAAAAAACCAGTGATATTTAATATAGAAAATGATGACATATGAGTGATCCTAGATAATTATTCTGAAATAAATTGTTTCAAAGGCCTGATCCCACATGATTAAACGACTAACATACCCAGATGAAGACTAACCCTTAAGATTATAATCACCTTAGTCCTATAAAGACATCCTGAAACATCCAAAGAACAGGCTGACTTTTTATTTAATCTTGTGTAAAAAGAAATATAATAATGTCTGTACCAGATTTAAGCAACAGGGTTTGGATGGACGTTCATTGAATCAGTAGTACTTATTGACTATGGCAGCTTTGTGTTATGTAGTTGAGATTTTTTGATGTTAAAATTATCATTTTTCTACTTTGGTGTCATCATAATAGAGATAAAATCATTTCATTGCTATTTTAAAGAGTCTAAGTACATTATGGGGCGGGCGTGGGGTGGGGGGTTGATGATTCCAGCTTGCCAACAGAGTAAATGACTAAAGAAATGAGATGGATCTGGCCAGAGTGAAGCAGGATGAGTGTCAGATGGAGACTTTAAATAGTTGGGAGGGAAATAGAGTCTCAGGAGAAAGGTGTGTAGCAGGAGTTATGAAAATCAGACAAGATCGAGCAGGTCAGAACGCACCGGTGGCAGTAAGTAATGAGGGCGACGGTGGGGCTTAATAGGTCTCTCTGACTCTCATAGCTGTGATTTCATAATCTACCAGTCATTCACCTCCAGGGGCATTTTTCTTCCAACTGGCTTTTTTTTATGTGTCAGAACATTGTACCTGTGAAATGCAAGAGAATTAAACCTCTCCTGCCGTTCTTCTTATCTACGCAGGGTGCTTTTGTTCTTAGCCTTCACTTTAAATGACAGGAGAACATAAATGGAACAGATAGACTTTGAATTAGCATCATGTTAGGAAAGAACATCTAAGCGCTTAACTTTTTCCACCTCTTCTAAAGAACTCACTTTTGGGGAAGCCACTGCTCCTCAATCTTTGCCCTGCCTCAGCTCTCAGAATGTCTTTGTACCTCTTAAGAGCAAAGGGAATTGGAAGGTGGCACCGTTGATGGAGGGCAGTGCTTTGGCATGCTCAGAGAGGGCCTATTGGTTCTGAACATTTGGGGCAAATGAGGTTATGAACATAGAAAAAGACATTGCAAATGTAGGTGTCACAAAGGGCTAGGTGGTCTTAGGTTATTTTTCTCCTCTTTTAGACACAATTCCAATTGTTTTCATTGCTGTGAAGGGTAACATTGGGAAGAATGGAAGTTATTAAAATTAAGACACTGATGTCTTAGCTAGGACATAATTTTTTTGCTCCCTTCTGAATTTAGGTAAATTACTTTTCTTCTTTACCCCGATTCCTTTCTTTAGAAAATATGATGGATAATAATAAGATTTGGATGTTTAAGACTTATAAACATTCAGTTCATCATTTTATGTTCTACAAACATCAGGAAAATGCCTTCCTGAGTGCCATATAATGCTAATACTATTTTCTTTTCATGACTCAGAAATATTCATGAGACAACACTTGTCCACGATTCTATTCTAAGTTGTTGTATGGGAGGAAAACAGATGTTTAGCTTGTGTGTGTGTGTGGGGGGGTGCTCGTGTGTGCTCATATATAATTTATCATTATTATTTTAAATATCTGCATTTCAACCTAGCAAATAAATATACTTTCATGGTGTAATTTATATTCTTTTACATTAACATTCTTCCCTTTTGTCTGTTCTTTCTTGTATTAAACTTTAGAAAATAGTACTACTTTACCATATTTAATGAAACTGAATTTCAGTCTTTTATTAAAACTCTCAGTAATATTTACCTAGTAGATTCAGTTATCCTAAGATTCAGGAAGCCACTTAAGTCAACTTAGTCTCTTCTTGAAAAAGACCTTCAACTTTCTAGAAAGCACAGTCATCCACCTGGGCTGTGATGTCTACATGAGCATCAATGCATGTCCAGAATTAATGGCTCTAGTTGGGTGTTGACTGGAGAGAGTTTGGATTCAGTCCATGGAGAGACAATCAGAAAAGGTGACAGGAGGAAAGTATAAGAAAAGTTTAATGACTAGAGAAAAATCATTGTGTGCTTGAATTAGCAAAATTTATTTAGTTTTCTAGCTTTAAGCTTACTTTAAGTCAATTTCAAGGGATCTAAAATGCATTTCAAGAAAATTAAAGAATTATCAATAACCATAGAAATCCTGTAAGATATTTCTTCTAGGACTTTAATAAACATGAAAGCAAGGCAAATTGACATGAGAACAATTAAAGAGCATTTACCTAACCCAAATGAAAGATACAAAAATGAACAAGATATTATTCATTTTCTTCAAATTCTTCAATAAGTACATACTACAGGTGAAGGGAACTAGTTTAATGGGTAAAGTGTTCACCAGGCAAGCATAAGTTCCTGAACTAGATTCCTCAGAACCTTTGGGAAAAGTCTAGGCAGGCAGGTAAACCCATAGAAACTACTAGCCTGGCTCATGGGAGCTCAGAGTCTGAACCAACAACAAGGGAACCTGCATGGAACCAACAGAGGTCTCTGTATACATGTGACAGTTGTATAGTATGGTCTGTATGTGGGACTCCTGGCAATGGGAGCAGGGGCTGTCCTTGGTGATTTGACTGTCTCTGGGGAATGTATTCCTCATATGGGGTTGCCTTGCCCAGCCTTAATTCATGGAGAGGTGCTTGGTTTTATGGCAGTTTGATAGGCCATGCTTTGCTGAAGCCCATGTGAGGCCTGCTCCTTTCTGAGTGATTACAGAGGAGGGATGATTTGAGAAATGTGCAGAGGAGAGGAGGGGGGAGAAAGTGGGAGAAGAAGAGTGAGGAGAGGCTATGGTCAGGATGTAAAAATAAATAAACTAATGAATAAGAAGTCATGTATCAATTGTGCAGTAGTCAGCTCTAAATACATTACCGCTAAATGAGTTAAAACATTGCACATTGTAAGTAGTAGACTGACTGTGTGGGTGAACATGTCTGAACAGAAATGCCAACATGGTGTGTGTTTCTTTTACACTATTAAGAGCTAACTCAAAAATTTCAGAGCAGTTAGACCACTTCAGTACCTATTTCTTTCTTACCATAACCTAGGCAACTAAAAGCAGAATGAATTCATAATGGATTTTTGTCTGTGGGCTCTTAGAAAGTAGGTGTGGCCACTCATGCTATGATTCTGAAGCTGAATTTTACATAGCTTTGTATACATGAGCACAGACATAGCTAAAGTATTCATGAAATAGTACTGAACATACAAAATGTGAGTAACCCATTACTACTATACACTGTTAAACACATTTATTTTGTCTTGCATTTGCTAATATAAAACCAATGTATGTGCATATATTACATTTATGAGTCATTTAGCATGATTTCACCTTGATAGAACACTCATATATTCTGAATAATTTTTGCCTCATTGGTCTAAATATGTGTTTATAAGCAGTTCTACTTGTATTTCTTTTCTTCGTAGCTTATTCTTACTCTGCACATTACAAATGAATGAGATTGCATTTTATATGCAACATTGCCTATATTTTTCTCTTGAAAGGCACAAGAGAGAAGATGTTGATTTCAAGCAAACACATTTGAGTATTTCATAAAAAAATGCAAGGAAATCAAATTCTATTAGTTCAATATTTCATTTGCTTTGTAGTCGTTTGCTGCATGATTCCTGATTCTGTCTTAATATATGAGTTTCCAACTAAGAATGAAGTAAATTCCCCAAAGAGAATGTTCAAGATATTCTTACCTAACCACACTTTGCACACTTGGAATGACTCAAATCATTGGCTTGAATAATGAATTCTAGACCAGAAAGCACTTATGCAGTATCTTGTACTGTTTCAAAAGCTTTTATATGGATTAGAAAGTGACCTGCTCCACAGTGATATGATTAGTTATCATTCAGAGGAATGAAAAAATACAACACTCTTATAAAATCAGGCATCTTCTTATGTAAAGATAAGCAGTGCAGTTAATGAGATATAATTCCAGTGTTCTTTGTAACATGTAGCCTTGTCATCAAATATATGCTTACATAATTGTGTATCCCATGAGTTAACTATTAAGATATCTAGATATAACCAGCCATGTGCTGATTACCTTTCAAGCTGTGAGTTTATCAAGACATAGAAAATAGAATTAAAGTGAGAAGTCCAAAGTTGAGTGATTTTCCTAAACAATTTATTATGGTCAACCATTCTGGACTCAAGTCTGGTACATCATGCAATGTGAAAAACTGCATGTCCTAATGCTTCATCTTAAATGTCTACCTATTTAAACAAGTAAAAGTTTTGGTTGTCTTTACAGGATTTTACATTTCCACACCAGTTGATCAAGCATGGAGAGGAGAAAGGATGGGGCTTTCAAGCCTCTACTTAGAGCTCACTTCAGAGCCTGTCTGCCTTCATTTCTGGTATGTTTCCAGTCAGGTCCTTCACTTCCAGTAGGACATACTCAAATGCTATCTTTGTAAATTGTTAACAATGCTTTTGCTAGGGAACCAACCTCAGATTTCACTAAGATAACTAAAGTTTTAGTGGATGATTGTGTTTTTTCCAGTGGGTAGAACAACAAAGTGTTGATAGACGCCCGCTTACCTTATTCCCCAGAAAAAAAAAAAAACTAAAAAAAAAATATTTTAAATAAATGAAACTATGTAGGAAGTACCAAAATGAGCATCTTTGTTTATTTCCAAACCAGGTATTACATGTGCTGTGAAAATGTATACAACTTGAGCATTGTTATCAGCAGTGACGAAACCACACACAAGACAGTTTTTCAGAGGACAGGAAATTATGGGATGAATTGGAACTACGGTCAAGTCACAATAAATGAAACAATGGAATTTAAGGTTTGCAAAAATACTATGTAATTTCTGTTTGTATATTTTTGTGATGGTGGGTGAGTATACTTTGCAATGATATGATAAAGTATTTTCTGGAGAAAACCTAGTAACTTTCTCTTCTTTTCTAGTCTACCTTATTTGTTTTCTTTTAGGGCACTTATTTAATGATTTATTAAATAATACTTTTGAGGAATTGTTTGTGATATTGCTTGTGATAGCACATGAAGCCCCATTAAAAAATCAACAACTTCATCTCCCTCCATCAACACTTTCTTCTGTTCTCCCGACTTACCTTGTTGAGCTCTACACATTCTAGATAATCATCATTTCATAGTTGGACATCCATGCCCATCAATATCCACCAACTGACCCCACTCTGACTTTATCTCTGGGGATTTCCTTTAGAAAGAAATTTTATGAGCCGTATCATTGGGAAGTCTCTGATCATTTATTCTGCATTAAGTTGAATTAATTTTTCCAAATAAGAGTTTAATACCCTCATATCCTAAGGGTTGTTGCTATTAAAATATAGGATAATGTGCCCTATTAGTTTGACCAAATTAACAATGTTCTAATTGAGTAATTTGAAAAAAGTTAGTAGTACTTTTAGAAGATGTATATTTGAACAGACAATGTCATCACCAGAGGCATAGATTCTCTCCTCCAACATACAGCCATAATCAGTGATCCATGTCTGCATTCTTCCTGTCATCCTTTCCCTTATTTTTTCTTATCCTGTCCTTCATTGTGAAATTCTGTTCAGTTTTGTTTGTTCTTTGATAATTCAAATAAGGAAAAGTGGAATATCAAATAGAAAAAAACGGACATGAATAAAATGAGGAAATCAGTGTTTCTGCAGACAGTTCTGGTCAAGGAGCTACTCTTCTAACTCATAATTATCCAGGATTCTGGACTTAGCTTAACAAACAGACACTGCCAGATCTCACTTGCACATTGATAATACTTTATTCATGATTTAACATGAATGGTTTAGCTAATTGAAGTCATAAAACGTTGAATATAAACTTTGAAATAAATCATTCCCATCACATAAATCTTATTATAGTGTACTGTTATAATTTTGTTTTGAGATACTAATCCTGGGGACATATGAACTAACATCTACACACCCCAGATAGGGAACCTATGACAGGCCAAAGTAAGGATACCAGCAAAGTTCAACTCGGCGAACCATTGAGATTCATTCATTGGGATTATTTGTAGGAGTGTGGTTGAGGGATACTTACAGGAGCAGAAATGCCTCAGAGACAACTGCATTACACAGCATAGATGATGGGTCATAGAAGCTCAATCCCTGAAACCAACTCTTCAGAGGTTGGAGAATGCCTTTTCCAATAGGCTCATCCTACGTAGCTCATCCTAGGTACCCAACCTAGGTAGCTTGTCTGAGAGATTCTCTCAACAGTTCTTATAACTTACAAAATGTTGAGGAGAACCAACCTTGTGAGCCTCATCAGTTTGAGGGAATTATTGAATCTATTGAGTGGTCTGCTTCCTGAGTTTGAAAGAATTTCCCTGCAGGAAGGAATGTTTTACCTTCCTTTAGAATATCCTGATTTTAAAGAGTTTCCTTGTAAGATGGAGGAAACTACTGTCCAATAAGCTGTTCTGTTGCATTATGTTACTATCATTGATCCATACTGTACCTAATTTATAACTCATACTTCTTCATAGATAACATAACATAGGATATACTGTGAGGTTCGGTGCTATTTGGAATTTCAATCATACAGTGGGGCTTGGAGGGTATTATTCTCTCTGGAAGAATACTAACTTACTTTCCAGTTATGCCATTGTAGTGAGAAGTTATGAGCAACTTGCTGTTATCTCTTTTAAATTTTATTTTTTCCTCTGGGAAAGGAAGACATTCACACTCATTGGAATAGTGTCTGGTATGTGATCTACAGAATTAATGGACTCATTGGAGAATTGAATATATAATAGGCTGAAAAATCAAATAAAATACTATATATCGCGTGCCTCATGCAGCAAGTAACATGTAGTAAATATTTTGTTCATGTCATTATTAACCTACTGAACATAGGAACAGAGAAATATAGATGAAAACAGCCACCATATCTGAGAACCTGCTGTGGTGTCTGTGACCTCAGGAGCTGTGACCCAGATTGTTTATGTGTCTTGAAATTAGCACCTTCATAAGAAGGCCATCTCAGAGCACTAAATGAACCAGGGCCAGTTCTACATGGATCTGAATGCTCACATTATGCTAATCATTTCTTTTGGTCCCCCTGGATTTCTACTTAAATGATCTAATCAGAGTATCTTCTCTTCAAGACTAGAATGTACTATGAAGGAAAACAAATATTTGGATTTTCAATATAATTGGGAGGAGGCTTCTTTCTGCTTCTAAATTATGTATAGGTTTTATTAAGTAACACATAGTATGATAAAATCAGGAGCAATAGAGATAAATCATAAGAAGTAAGACATACATGCATATTTGCTAAGATTTACATATAATCCAAAAGTTAAGATTCTCAAAAGAATTTATACAAGATGATTTATCAATATTTCAATGTGGAGTATTTTATTATGCATTTTGCAATTGGCAATACTGATTCCCCACAGTTATTAAGCCATAGGAAGCACCAACTCAGAAATTATGACAGTGGAATAATATTATATGCTTCTCTGAATTTCAGGTTGTGTTCAATGCTTTTAGATTCCCAGGTTGGAGTACAATAGCCCTGGATGACATAAGCCTAACAAATGGAATTTGTAGTGAGAGTCTTTATCCAGAACCAACTTTGGTTCCCACCCCTCCACCAGAGCTTCCTAGTAAGTAACTCCATTATGTGTATTCTCTAAATCATGAATCTATCTTGTTTTGGCTCATTTTTATTATCTCACTCTAATAGTATTTCAATGGAAAAATCAAAGTAAAAATAAATTAAAGGCCATAAGAAAAAATGATAGCTAGGCAAATGTTACAATGAATATATAGAGTCATCTATTATTTAGTTGTTGATCAAATTTAAGATATTTTAGTAACTTTCATTCTTGAATGTAATGACTACTAATTTTTATTAAATACATTAAAATACAAATTCCAGTGCCACATTGGTGGTGATGAATGAGGTGTTACTGTCTTTAGGGGAGAGTTGATGAGGTTCTCATTGCCATTTTAGGAAAAGACTTGAAATTCACAAATAGCTCAGTTAAGACTGAAACACTGGGCCGGGCATTGGTGGCACATACCTTTAATCCTAGCACTTGGGAGACAGAATCAGGTAGAGTCCGAGGCCAGCCTAGCCTACAGAGCAAATGCTAGGATAGGCTCCAAAGCTACACAGAGAAACCCTATCTGGAATAGCCAAAAAAAAGAAGGAAAAGAAGAAGAAGAAGAAGAAGAAGAAGAAGAAGAAGAAGAAGAAGAAGAAGAAGAAGAAGAAGAAGAAGACTGAAACACTGTCTTACTTAGGGTTTCTATTGCTATGAAGAGACACCATGACCCTGACAACATTTAAAGGAAAGTATTTAACTGTGATGGAGGCTTACAGTTTCAGAGGTTTTGTCCATTATCATGATTGTGGGGAGCATGGTGGCTGGGAGTATGGTGGTATCTTGAGCATTATATGAGACTTCAAATCCTGCCTCCACAGTGACAAACTTCCTCCAACAAAGGCTATACCAATTCAAACCACATCTCCTAACACTGCCACTCCCTTTGGTGGTCATTTTCTTTCAAACCACCACACACCCCAATTCAATTTTAGAATAAATTTGACAGCAAATATTAAACCAAAACTTTTTCCAGGACAGCCCTAATGAATGGGAATATTTACATCCTGAAACAATGCCTCGATAAGGCTTTGCAATGCCCTCCCTTGGTAGCTGCTTAGCTGAGCAATAATTGAGATTTCTAATCTTACCAGAACTTTTAACTCAAAAGAACAAAATGGATCTTATGCCTACTTTCCTTGTGTCAAATTGGAAAGCTTAAAATCCTCATTACCATTCATCTTATCCATGTGTGAAAGAACATATCCTATTACCAGACCATTGAATTTGACAGACCATAAAAGGACAATTACAGATAAAGATACCTTAGATAGCACAGCTACTGTCCCTCTATTAGGATATTTTCAGTACAGTGCTGTTTTGAGACAACATCCCTTTGTCTTGTGATCATGGGAATCTGAGGGAGTCAAATAATGTATTCTGTCATATATCTGAACACTCAACACAGAATTTCCTCTTCTCATTTTGTTTGAAAAACTTAAAATACTCACATATAAAAGCATGTATTTTTCTACATACAAACTTCAAGTTAAAACAAAACAAACAAATAAAAAGCAAAAGAGCCCAGCAAAGGAGTTCAGCGTATAAAGGCATTTACAGCCTAACCTGATGACCTGAGTTTAATTCATGGGACACACATGAAGGAAGAGAGAACTGACTCCCATACTCCCATAGTTGTCCTCTGACCTTCACAATATACTCACCATGGAATTCACACACACACACACACACACACACACACACACACACACACACACACACGGAGAGAAAGAGAGAGAGAGAGAGAGAGAGAGAGAGAGAGAGAGAGAGAGAGAGAGAGAGAGACTAAACACATTTGGTTTTTTGTTTGTTTTGATTTGTTTTTGTTTTAAGAAGCAAAATTTTTCAGCTAAATGGCATTAACAAATCCAAAGTCCTATAGAAAAATGACTGGTATTTGACATCTTTTAATAAATGAGCTGCTGCTAAATAAAGATGTATTAGTTCATATAGGACTCCTGCTCCCAACTTGAATATTCATTATAGCCCACCAAAAAGTTAGTGTCCACTCTGCTTGTATGCTGAAATATTTAGATATTTCCTGAATTATGCATTATTCCCATCATTCATTAAGTCATAGATATCCACTCTACAAATCACACTACCAAAGAAACCTAAGAGGTATAGGTGATATGTGAAAATTTTAACATGATAGAAAAACAAATATTTTAAACAGTGTACTACTTGCAGCTAATCAGTGAAAATGTGTGAGGTGGACAAGATTTACTTAAGGAAATGTGTGTATAAAACTACCACTCAGAAATCTAAAAGAGAGGGAAAAGAACTCTGATACTGTTATAAATTCTGAAAAAAAACCAGAAGTTTTATTTTTTTCAGGGCTGGGGAAGGACAGCAAGGCTTCTGATACATTACGCGAAGCACAAGTGTACTTACTTCTCAGCATTATTATTGTTTTTGTCAATTTAGCCCATTGTCATTCACTCTACCTGGCTGATTGCTAGTACCCTATGAAACAATAACACACAAATATTATTAGACATACTGAGAATTCTTTTTGATATCCTAATGTTTTGTCACATTCCTCTTTTGGTCATTGGAACTAAGTTTTTGGGTTAATACCAAAATGAATGCAGTAATTTGGACTTAGTGACATTTGAATATAGCAGTCCTATTACATTCTGTGTGGGCCTCTGCACTTATAGCATATGACATTTTTATGAAAAATTGTATGTTTGGAATTCTTAAAATCAGTATTGGTTTGATGAATGTTTCTAAGTTTCCATAGTAAAATCTTAGAGCTCCATTCTTAAGACATAAGCCAAATTACAATACTTAAATTATAAAATCTGAGATAACCTTTTTATATTATTACACATAAAGTAAATGATTACAATCTGGTTTCCCTTGTTAAAAATTTGTATTATTGTGTACCATCATAATATCTATTCTAGCCAGTAAAAGAAAAATCACAGTGTCTCAATGTATAGAAACTTGGCATCCATGCACAGTTTTGCACTGGGGAAATTGTACCGTTAGAATAACCCATCTGATTTTAAGATATAAATTTAGAGTTTTCCCAGAGTGTCTTTGTTCCGCTTTCTAAGTGGTTCACTTTGAGCCAACATTTGGCACAGCGAAAATGTTAATTACCATCCAACGCATTCTGAACTATTCCTTCCTAATGCCTTTTGCAGATGGGTCACTTGAAGTCCTATCTGTGCAGAGCTATTCTGATTCCAGATCACTGACTTGTTTAAGCAAAAATAAAAGGAAACCATGGTTGACTGGCTAAAACCTTTCTTTCACTCTTTACAGAGCAGTTAGATAAGAAAATCTCAGATAAGTGGGTGAATAATAAAACTCCTTTCCTGAGATTATTGTTGAGTCTAGTTTTGAGGATGTTCCCAACTACAGAGATTCCTCTACCATCTGACTTTGGTCTCTGCTCCCTCAGTTCCAGGATGTTGCCTGTTATGTTGATACAATTAATTTCAATATGGGAAACTCTACTTGGAGAAGGTTATAAAAGCTAACATTTTGTTACACAAATATCATACCAATTTGACAAACAATGCTGAAGCTCTGTGATAAAGTACAGTACATGTAGACAAAAATAAATCTGTACTGCAGGCCCTGGCTGATTTCTGGGATGCTCAAATAATTGAAAAATATGGCTTTGGCCATTTCAATATTCACTACTTCTAAGGTTTTTGTTTTCTCTGTCATGTGCTGATTTAAGCCATTTTTCATTTCTTAACACACAGTAAGAGTTAATTTTTAAAAAGTTACTGAACAACTTGACAGGTTCTCCCTGTGGAAATCAATCTGCCTCTCCCTGCAAACCATAATTCTATGGTGTTTGTTCAACTTAATATTCAACCCCTAGTACATACATGTATTAATTGCATTCATAGAATCCTTCACCAAATAACCTTTTCCTATAATTTTGTTTTCATCACTTTATAACAACTAGTCTCACTTAGTGTTATAGTTGGTTAGATTTATTTCAAGAACAAATAAAATGTAATGTTCATGAATAAACACTTAAACCAATTAGTCACAAGTTTGATAAAAATATTTACATTATGAGTAGTTACAAAAATGTCTTAAGATTGTTAACTTTTAAAAATTGGACCCCAAATTCTCATGGGAAAATTAATTTTGGATAATAACATAACTTATTAACATGTTCCATATAACATTTAAAGATTTATTGTGTCTTACTAAAATAACACATAATACTTGAGAATATTAAAAATTACTTTCACGTAATTTCAATGTGATTTATTATTTCTCAAGTTACATCTATTATTTCCCCCAATAAATGAGTACCAATCAGAAGCCTATTAGTAATTGAAATTGGGTCTTCATTTCTTATTTTCTTCCAACTGTTTAATTCATACTCTCTCACTGTGTGAGAGTTGGCCTCTCCTCTTCCTCGCCTCCTGCATATACTTCCCTGTGGACACATACCTTATAAGTGTCGGCCTTAAGTAGCTGTGGCCACTAGAATCCCTCAAGGACATACTCCATCTTTGAAAACTTCTTTGGAGAATGTGACATAAACACTCACCTGTGCAGTGAAAATTTCTACAACATAAGAAGATACTCATCAGATACAAACATTTGAAAGAACAGCACCTAGAAATGTCAAACATGAGGACCTAATCTGGCTAGGGACAGACCCTCCAGGCCAGTCAGGTCGCTTGACTCACACTGCATGTGCAGGCATTGATTACCCAATAGCCCAACATGATAGCAATTTCTAGAGTTGTGGCTCATCAGTCCATGGTGCTTCCCCTAAGAATCATGGGCTACACCCCACTGTGGCAACACTGACATTAAAATAAGTTGTGCTTGTGGCACAAGGTGAATTTGCTAATTTCTTACAGTCATTAACAAGGAAGCAGCCATGGAAGCATCTTCCATATAGAGATCAAAGGAGTTTTGCTGGTCAGCTATTTGATGTGAAATTGTAATTTGAATATCTTTCAAAATAGGCATCTTAAGCATCTTAGGGGAATGACTTTCTTAAAATTTTTGTCTGCAGAATAAGTGCTGAGTAAACTGTCTGCCTGATTAGGCTTAACAGTTACAACTGACATTATTTTAGTTCTGGTTGAGTTTATTAAAGTCCTACCTATTCATCTTTCTTACATATTATGCAGTTACATTTTAAGTTATATAAAAATTCAAACAGTTCTCAAAATTTTAACTATGTGATATTAACAGTGTTTGATTCAGAAATTTTTCTATTCTTTAAATAGAAAATGGGGAAAACATAAATGTGCACATACGACAACACACTTGTACAATTCAGTCATGTAAAAAACATACATAAATGCACAAACTTTCATGCACATGTACACAGCACATACATGAACATACACATGCATAAGAACACACTCATAAAATATACAATCTTGTATGAAAAGCAACCTCAAGGTACACTCATTCAAATGTACATATGTATACAGACACATATAAATGCATAAATTTACATACAGGGTCACAGTATTTGTCATGCACTCATATACACAAGCATGCAGACACATACCCTAACATAGGTAGGCACACACTTGTACATGACAAAACGATACACCTTAATAATCATTGGTATATACACACAACATACCATGAATACACAAAGACAGCCATATTCACACAGACATACATACGGACACACACATAAGCAGACTCAGAAACACATACAGAAGTATACTTTCATGAACGCAGACAAACAAATGGGCACATACAATCACACATACACACTAATATGCACATATACACACATAAAAACTGAAACACAGGGATGCATGTGCAAACATACACACACATATACACACATACACAAATACACATATGCAAGTTCACATATAAAAATACACATTTTCATAATATATACAAATACACAATTGACACTCATGAATATATGATATAGATATTTAAACTCATACAAATTATACACATACCCATACACACTTGTACACACACACAATCTGACCTATACAAACATACAAGCATATGTACAAATTCACCAGAAGTTCAAATGGATTAGGTAAAGAAGGCCTATAATATGCATGCAATACTATTATTAGAAGGTATTACTGAACACTCTGCATAGGTATAGTTTTTCTTAATTATCCCTCATCTATTATCATTTTTGACTTATTGAGTATAAAAAACATCTAGCCTCATTTGCCTTCACTAAAGGGAAAATACATCATACAGTTAAATCAGGCCATTTAAATTTTGGAAATCATTTTTAAATATAACAGTAGTAACAAGGATTGAAATCTGGGTCCCTAACACATTCAATGAATTCTTAAAATGTTTTAGATTTTTATAATAAATAAACAGAAAAGAAAATACAGTCGATATAATAAAATGTTAACATACCTAATCACAGTCTGAACTAGATGTAGGCTCTCGTTTCATAATAAAATTTAATTAAGCCCTGGAAAACCCAATTGCTGCAAAATGTTGCATAATAGATCTAGAAACAAAACTAAAAATGTTTGTTTTGTTGCTAGTGTTTTTTTTAGGGGTGTGTGGCTGTCTATAGGCTCTCATATAGCATAGGAAGGACTTGAATTTCAAATCCTCCTTGGATCACAGGTGTGCACTGCCATGCTTTCCCTCAGAAGAATTACAAACAGGAAGAGAAAATGTCACTCTCACCTTCCTGAATACCAAGTGCTTCAATTTTTACCAACATTTAGCCCAATACCTTAAGGATAAACAACAAGAAAGTGTATATTGCTAGATCAGTGACATATAGGCACTCGCCCTTCTTCTAGGATAGTGGCAGGGATAGGATTTGTCTATTATAAATATTCATGTTTTTCTGCAGGTATGATTTTCTCTCTTTTGTTTTGCAAAATATTTCCATTGGTCAAAAATATGGGCAATCCTAAACACTATTATAATCTCTTGAAATTTGTAAAAGAAGTAAGAATATAAAGTTTGTGAGATCCTTTCTAGGGAAGACACCAACATCATGTTTCCCTAACAGCTTACTGAACTTGTAAAATGATTCTGTCAAAAAGTGGCATTCTAGGACATGAAGTTTTACGGTGCCTGGCATCCAGTAGGATAACTGTGGGATAAGCAGTGTGATTAATGACTCTTCCCTAATCCATTTCAGCTGACTGCGGTGGACCTTTTGAATTATGGGAACCAAATACAACATTCAGTTCTCCAAACTTTCCAGAGGCCTACCCAAATCAAGCTTTCTGTGAGTCTTTTCTTTCCCAGGTTACCAAGGAAAAATGCACATAACAAAGCTTTGCCCCTCTCAACGTAGTGAAGTAGACTGCAAATTTGTCAAAATGGACACAGTAAAATGTCTACCTGTGAAATACTTCCTTGATTATTTCTCTCACTTCTGAGAGTATTTATAGTTATAACATTTTCCCCACCCCTTGCTTTCTCTTCATCCAAACCCTCCCCTATACCCTTCTCTGATTTGTTTCAGATTGATGACCTACTTTTTCTTTGCTAACTTTTTTTCTTCATTCATTTATTTAGCTCATAAATAAAGTCATGCACAATTATGATACAGAATACAGTATGTTCACAATGGCATGGCTAAATTAAATCAATTAATGTTATATCACACATATTCATCATTTTTGTTTTGAGAACACTTAAAGTATACTATCTCACAACTTTTAAAATATAGCATATTGTTATCAACCATATTTATCATGCTCTCAGTAGACCTCAAGACTTCAGAGAGTCCATGCCTCTTGTCCAACTGCAGTTTTATATCCTAAAACCAATCGTTTCCTCATTGTTAAAAACCCACATTGAAGCCTAATAGTCACAATTCTGCTCTCTGTTTTCGTAAGTTTATCATTTCTAGGTTACACATAAAATTGAAATTGTGTGACATTTGTCATGCTTGCCAAAAAAAAATAAGTGACACTAAAGATGAAATCAGATTTGAATGCACAGGTGAGCACTCACTGAAACACCTTGTATTCATCACATATTTGAGTTTCAATTAGCTTATATATATATTTATATTTATATAAAAAGAGCAATAATGGCAATATGTTATGCATCAATAGCAGTAACAGCTTTTCCAGGTTCTGCAGTCCTTTGAACAAAATTATAGAGACATTAAGTGAAGGCAAAGTAATAGTGTTCACTATGCATGATTTCAGTCAATTCGCACATTCTTTACAGTGCTTTGCACTATTGTAATTCCAGAATAAAAACCCCAAAGTAATGCCAGTGGTGCAGTCACCCTTGCTCCAGATGTTTCTCTTATCAGTTTCCTTGCTCATTCATGTAATCCCCGGAGTATGTACAGCATGTTTGTGGTTTTATAGATCAAAGCCAATGCAAAGTTACAGCCAATGTAACTCTTTCCCCCTTAGGAAACACACACTAGACTCCATAGAGAATACAACCAGAGTAACATAGACTCACACCAACAATGAGAGAATAACTGGGGCTACTGAAATATCTAAATCTAGAGAAAGCAACCTATATAAAACAGTACAAAGTTGTCACTGGGCTAGTGTAACTATCTAGAGAAACTCAGACAGTTTCTGAAGTTTCTGATAGTTTCAGACAATTATCGGAAGACTGCATAATCTGCATTACACACCCGAAGTCTCCATTCTGTTTTACAAAGATTATAATTCAGGAGGCATGGGCTGTGATCAGCCATGTTTTTTTGCATGTTTCCATGTTCATACTTAGTTAGGATTCAAATTCAGTATCAGTATCAAGCAAGTACAAAGAATGGGACAATGGTAGTGAAGGGGGGGTTAAAATGTGAGCCTCTCTTCACAAAGAGACAGGTGGCAGTTTCAAGGCAAAAAGAGGTCATTAGGACAAGAGAATAGGTAGACATTAGTCTAACATGGTCTGAATGTGGAAGCAAAGCTTATCTTCCCCACACACACATCATGCTCACGACAGCATGTAATTATATCTCTTGTATAGACATTCAAAAAACTCTAAAACTTAGTCATTGAAACAACTAAAAAGCACTTTTGTTGCTTTTAGTTTTCATATTATAACATGATTAGATTATTTTCCCCTTCCCTTTCCTCCTTCCAAATACTCCAATATATCCCTTTTCACCCTCTTTCAAATGCATGATTTCTTTTAGCATGAATGGTTGTTACATACATAACATGTGTGTTATATAGTATATAAATATATATATACACATATGTCTGCGTATGTATATACTATGTGTACATACATATATATGTATATATGCATGTATACTATATATAACTTTATACTGATATATATGTACCAATATATATAATATGTATCATCTACAACAGTGTATACATTTATATTATATACACACACACATATATAATCATTATAATGTTACTTTTTGCGTTTTCGGGGAATAACCATTTGGTCTTGGAAAACCAACTGGTGTGCTTTCCCCAGGGGAAGACTATTTCTTCTGTTCTCAGAATTCCATAGTTGTTTGTAGTACTTTTATTTACCCAATGTTTGCCAAGAACTTTACTTATCAAATAAACAATGTTATTGTCTGGATGGATGCTCAGATAAAGGGTCAGACACTACAAATATTCAAGATGCCATTAAAATAAGAGTAAAAAGGGTGTTATAAGGGACATGGAAGGAACCATCACAGACTAGTCCAGGAAGGCATGACTTTCTTGACTCTTTTAAGGAAAACTCAACAACTGTAGTTAGTTAAATGGGCAATATGAAGAAAATTTCCTTTGTGTTATGGGACATGAATTTTATACAAGACAAAAAGTGGAAGTTCCCAGAAATTTGCCTGAGAACCATGGTAGGATCAAACTCACATTTCAGGCAGATCCGTCTGTCTATATATGAGAGACAGGGTGTGAAGGGAGTGTCAGACATATCTCCAATTGGAACATCAGAACTGTCAGCATCCTGCACTCTGATAGGGCAATTGTGGTGATATATTGTTTATGATCCAATAAAGCTTGCCTGAAGGATCAGAATGCAAGGCTAGCCACAGCCATAGAAGCTAGGCAGTGGTGGCACACACCTTTGATCCCAGGACTCAGGAGACAGAGGCAGATGGATCTCTGTGAGTTCAAGACAACCCTGGGCTACAGGAGAGTGAATCAGTTTAAAAGAGAAACAGAGTTGACAACTTTAATACCAGCACTAGAGAATACTGCTCAGCACAGTCTCAGGGAGCAGTCTAGGATTCTGAGGCTTGGTGGAGAGCAGTGCAGTCTAGAGATTGGATCTGGGGACAGGATCACCCCTTCGATCTAAGCACTGGGTGAGGTGAGAACTCTCTAGTAGCTGGTTGATTTGGTTTTCTGATCTTCAGCTTGAACCCCAATATTTATCTCTGAATTTTTATTATTCCTGATACAAGAAATGAATGTTGACAATTGAATATGAGTGAAGGCCATAGGAAGCAGGATTGAAGGTTATGGAGATCAGTTGCTTGCTATTGAGGATATGAAAAGAGCTAGGGGTGAGTCTACAATTGGTGCTGCCCTTACCAATTATGGAGAGAAGAGCCAGGAGTTTTCCAAAGAGAGACAACTCTGTGTGTGTGTGTGTGTGTGTGTGTGTGTGTGTGTGTGTGTTAAATTTTAAATATGAATTTTAAGTCATCTAAGAAACTCATAAAAGGAACATTCATTGAAGCAGACCCTTTTTTAAAAAAAGAGAAGTAAGAGCATGTAATATATTTTAATTGGAGAAACTCTCAAATACATACTAGAGTTTGCTTATTTAATCATGGAAAATTAAGTGAATTGAGGCTGGCTAGATAGCTTATCAGGTAAATAAATATGCTTGCCACTAAACCATATGTCTTTGATCCCTGACATCCCAATAGTGGAAGGAAAGAACTACTACAGCAAGTTGCCTTTTGTGCACTGTGAGAGCTTCACCCCTGCACACCCACCCCCTGCCACACACACACACTAGATGCAAGAAAATAAAGAAATTTAAGGGAATTGAAGTAGACTCTTAATACCTATTGATGTTCTTAAACTTTGTACGATATGTACAACTTTTAGATAAAGTATTTTATTTTGTATAAAATGAATTTAATTATGGTGAGTTTATATCAAATATAATAGAATAGTTACAATACATATTTAAGACCAAACCAATATATAACCTTTCCTAGCCCAAAACAAAACAAATCAATGAAAATAAAAAAGAATATAATTGTCATTATTTATTGTCTTCAAGGTGTATGGAATTTAAATGCACAAAAGGGAAAAAATATTCAACTTCACTTTCAAGATTTCAATTTAGAAAGCATCAATGATGTGGTTGAGGTGAGAGACGAGGGAGACGCTGACTCCTTGCTCTTAGGTAAGATGGGAATCGGAGCTCTCTGAAAATGTGTGTATCTAGAGACACTTGATGTACTTTGAAGCAGACGTAAGAACTTTACAATTCGAAAATGAAAATATAGCAACAGGGTAGCATGCTGATGATATTTAGTTCATTGGAAATAGATTTTTCATGCAATATATTCTGATTTTGATTTCTCCAATCCCAAGTCCTCCCAGAGAATGATGTGTTTCCTTATGGGACATTTTGCAGTGGTGACAAGATTTTCCCCTTCTAGAATATTGTTGCTAATCAGGACAGATATGTTTACAACACAGTTCTTAAAAGTTGGCAATAATTAACTATAAGCACACCTTATGTAAGCAATTATGTACTTTCTATGAATTCTGTGTACACCAGGTATTTAAAGATAATTATTAAATCATATTTCCTTTGATCATAAAATATCTGAATTCTGTTTCTTATAAATTTTTTAGTAATTTTATTTTATATTTTATCAGTTTTGCTTATTAATGTCTGCAGCAGCATCTACTTCTCAAGAGCTGAGAATCATACAAAAGTTAACCAATGTTTATTTTTCTCTATTTCTATTGGCTATTACTTTGTAACTATACACAAGAAATAGTTTTGTCTGAATGACAAAATACATATATCATATTTAAAAGTTATTGGGAAAATGTAAGACTATATTATATTATTTAGCCATTAATTTTTAAGAAAGAACTACCTTTTGGTAAGGTATGCCCAATAATAAATTAGGAAGATGCTTAAATGTTCAACTGGGAAGCATGAACTATGATTCTTCACCACAGACAGGGTTTTATCTTGCTCCTCTTGTGGCTCATATTTGTCATTTATTATAAAGCCTAGCTTGAAGTTTTCTAAATCAGGGCACACTTATAAAAAATATGAGAAATGAATGAAGACTCACTATGAGACACCAGCCTCTGAAGGACCAGAATAACAGTGAAATTGCAAGACATAGCAAAAATTCCACAAAGTTCTAGAACACAGCTTTTCTGAAATGAATCCTCAGAGTCACACATGAAATTAATCAACAATGAAATCTTACCGGAATCAACAAGATTTCAGGAACATTCATCTGGATTAGTATACCCACTCATAAAAATATTTTGAATGGGTGCTTTTTATTTCACTTTCTGGTTAAGTTGTATTCCTAATGAAAACACTGCTTATATGAGCAAGGAAAATAACAATTTATTATTTTATATCTAATTGTTCACACAAATAATAGAAAGAAAAATTCCAGGAGGATATATAAATTATACTGTAATTTGTAGATATAAATTGTTTTGTTCTGGAATTGTTTCTCTGCTTCTAATATGTAAAGCAGGTAAGACTCAGCACCTGAAGTACAAGAATATGTGCATGCTTTTGGTGGGCCATGCTGCTTGTAAACTCTTCATGTATCTCTGAGATCCAAACACCTCACAGTCTCTTTTCCCTTGGGGGCAGCTGTGTACACAGGACCTGGCCCTGTCAAGGACGTGTTCTCTACCACCAACAGAATGACTGTGCTTTTCATCACAAACACTATGAGGGCAAGCACTGGCTTCAAAGCAAATTTCACTACTGGATATTACTTGGGGATTCCAGGTAAGAAATATTGCACACTCCATCATGGCTGTATGAGCAAACTAAGGAAAGCAAAACCCCTTTCGAGCCTCAGTCACAGTGTATATATTTGCATTCTGAGTTATAATTTTGTCTTTCTCAGCATAAATGTAGACTTTTGTCCCTCCTCTTTATATGTAATGGTTATATGAGTTTTTTCACAACGGGAATCCACAATATTTTTGCATATCAAGTACTTCTCTATTAAGATCCTTGACTTCTACTTGGTGAAGTAAAATTTAGCACGAAGTTCAAAGTAAAGTAACTGGCTCTGTAAGGACTTTTCATTTTGCCAAGATCTCACTGAGAGAGGAGGAGGGAGATGGGCTTCTGAACTGCTGGATGACAGTGACACCCAATTAAGAAATTAAACATCATTAACTTGGTATAGGCAGCCAGACTAAAGCAACTACAGTGGAGTTTAACACTGAACACTGAATGAAGCTGCCATTGCAACCTTCTTATTGTGTTCTTTATCATATCCTTAATTTAAACAGCAGGAAAAAACAAAGCATTGTAACACACACACACACACACACACACACACACAGAGAGAGAGAGAGAGAGAGAGAGAGAGAGAGAGAGAGCAGAGACAAAGACAGTATACAAAATATGTACTTGCTCTCACATTTATGATGTTTACAAATTTTTGAATTATTTGTTGCTTGTGGTTCAAACGGGCTCTAACTTTCCTTGTGCTGACCCAGTGCTCAATACATCTTTCCTGATAGAATTTTCATTCCTACATATGAATTCCTAGAGAAGAGGAATGATTGCATGATTCCTCTCTTATGGATTATTATCTAAAGCTAAATACTGTTGTGTAACTAAATTATGGTTATATATGTTTCTCTACCACTCAAAGCTGGCCTGAAATGTTGACCCTGTCCCAGGAAGTGACTTGATTTCAGTTTTATGGCCATTTTCTTTAGCCCCACAAATAAGCCACAACATAATTGTGAAAGCTACTTAGGAAGGGTTGGCTGCTAACCCAATCAGCTAATCTCTGCATCTGGATTAGCAAACTATATATATATATATATATATATATGTGTGTGTGTGTGTGTGTGTGTGTGTGTGTGTGTGTGTCCATGTTATTTCATATGTGTGTATTTTATGTATGTATATGTGTATATTCATATGTGTATACACATATGTGTGTGTCTGTCCATGTTATTTCATATGTGTGTATATTATGTATGTAAATGTGTATGTGAATATTTATATGTGTATACGCACACAGGTGTGTGTGTGTGTGTGTGTGTGTGTGTGTGTGTGTCTGGCATTGTGTGGTACCTGTCTGTAATACCAGGTCCAAGTAGGAGGAGCAGAAATTCTTCTTTCTTTCTTTCCTCTATTTTTTTTTGTTTTGAAGAGGAAAAGGTTTATTTCACCTTACAGTTTCTAGTTGATCATACTAGAGAGTATGATCTCTAATAGCTGGAGATCTAGTAGCTGTGAGAGTAGCTGGAGGCAGAATCTGATGTACAGGCTATGGAGGAATTCTGCTTTCTGGTCTGGCTAAACATTGTCCACACACAGACATATTTATTCTCGTATGAGCATACATATATTGAAATTCTTTAAAGTATTGAGGTTGAATACATCCAAGGAATGACTTCCCCACCCCAGAGAAAACTTTTTCCACATGAGCAGCTACCCATCATGTGATCAGATACCAGAGAAGTCAATTTAAAAGAGGAAAGATTTGTTTGCTTCTAGGTTTCAGAGTCTTCAGACAGTCAGACCACAGTCTTGGGGCCTTAGTGTCTGAGCCCATAAGAAAGAAAAACATGATGGTGTCAGAAGCATGTGGTAGAGGCTACCTAATTTATGACTGAAAGGCTAAAACGGGGAGTGTTAGGGAGAGGGAAGAGGAGAAAGGAAGGGGAGAGGGAGAGGGAGACACTCCTAACACTCCTAAAAATGACACAACACCTGCTCACTACTTCCTTCTGGCAAGCTCCATTGCCTAAAATTCCCAGAACCTTCCCCCCAAAAAAGATTCACTAACTAGAGATCAAATTTCTCAATACCTGAGATAAAGGAGCAAATAGAGAGAGAGAGCACTTCATATCCCAGGATGTGAGGTAGATGAACCTGCTTCATTTGAGGAATAAAATTGTTCCCATTCTATAGTAGGAAATTACCAATACGGAGTCAGGTAGAAATATAAGGGTATTTAATAGGGAAAAGCCTTACTTACAGAGCGACCTAGCCAGCCGGCGTGGCAGTAGCCTGTACAGCAAGCAAAGAGAAACCGAAGCCACAAACGCAGTCACACTACGTCACTCTGACCACGCCCTCACAAGCCTGGTCAGGCACACCTGTAGCCAGCCCCTAAGCAGGTGTGGCTACAACTTTCCCTACAATTCCCCTTTTAGTCTAAAAGAGGATTAAAACTTAACAGTATAAAGTATCCAAAATTAACAATCATAAAGGTAAAATATAAGAAGATACAACAATCTGCTTATGTCACATCCTAACTATCTATTTTAACTAAACCCTAAAGTCATCTAAGCTGTAGCCACGCCTTCTTAGGGGCTGGCTACACCATTCCCCTGTATATCCTCACCTCTGGGTCTCTAAAGGATAATAAAATAAAATATAATAAAGTATAATAAGACAAAACAAAATCAACACAAAATAAACAGAAGGAAAATAACCCCGGGAAGACACAGGATGAGAATTTAAAAGACCATCCATCTCTTAGGTAGCATAGTGAGTTCCAGACAAGCCTGGACCACTTGAGATTTTTTTTTCTGATAGAGGCAGAGGGAGTGGAAACAAAGGGAGGAGGAGAGACTAACTTTAAAAACATCAAAATTGATCTTAAATTATAATTTATGAAGAAAATGAAGCTAGAGTTCATTCGTACAAAAGAAGAAAATGACAGTTATATTAAATAATGAATACTGATACATATATAAAATAAGCATAGAGTTATTACAATGCATGTATATATGTATTCAAAATATAACTAAAAATTGATTCATGGCTTTGGAAATATTAACCAAGATAATTTGGAACGTGGCATTTAAATTTAGTCAGTAGGCCTGCTCTGGCTAATTTTGTTATTACTGATTAATTTATGATACTATGCCTATTTGCCAATAGTTTGTCTACTGCTTTGGATTTTTATTTCCACACTGGGAAAAAACATATTTTCTATTGCAGTTTAATTCAATATTTGACATGGGTTATGCTAATTTTCTCCAAGAGATTATTTTTTATTAGTTCAAATTAGAAACAAGGTTGCTTCACATTTCAATCCCTTCTCCCTCTCCCTGCCCTTCCCCCAACTCCCCACCAGCCCCCCCCACTTCATCCCCACTCTGCTCCCCAGGGAGGGTAAGGACCTCCATTGGGGTTCCCCAAAGTCAGTCATATATCCTGGACAGGGCCGAGGCCCTCCCCCATGTGTCCAGGCTGAGAGAGCATCCCTCCACCTGGAATGGGCTCCCAAACTCCCTTCTTTGACCAGGGATAAATACTGATCCACTACCAGGGGCCCCATAGAGTGCAGAAGCCTTCTCATTGACATCCACATTCAAGGGTCTGGATCAGTCCTGTTCTGGCCTCCCAGACATCAGTCTGGGGTCCATGAGCTCCCACTTGTTCAGGTCAGCTGCTTCTGTGGGTTTCACCAGCCTGGTCCCAACCTCCTTACTCTTTACTCCTCCCTCTCTGCAACTGGGTTCCAGAGTTCAGTTCAGTGTTCCGCTGTGGGTGTCTGACACTGCTTCCTTCGGCCACTGGATGAGGGCTCTAGGATGGCATATAAGGCAGTCATCAGTCTCATTATAGGGGAAGAGCATTTAGGGTAGCCTCTTTTCCATTGCCTAGGTTGTCAGTTTGTTTCACCCTTGTACATCTCTGGAAATCTCCCTAGTGCCAGATCTCTCCTCGAACCTATAATGGATCCCTATGTTATGGTATCTCTCAACCTGCTCTCCTCTATTCTTCCCTTGACTCAACCTTCCTGCTCCCCCATTTCATCCTCTCTCCTCCTCTTCTCCCCCTCACATCCTCCCAGCTCCCTCTCCCCTACCCTCATGCTCCCAATTAGCTCACGAGATCCTGCCCCTTCCCCTTCTCCCAGTTCCATGCATTCTTCTCTTAGAGTCCTTCTTGTTTCCTAGTTCCTTTGGTGATGAGGACTGTAGGCTGGTAATCCCTTGCTCAATGTCTACATGTCATATATGAGTGAGTACATACCATGTTTGTCTTTTGGTGAATGGGTTACCTCACTCAGAATGGTTTCTTCTACTTCCAACCATTTGCCTGTGAACTTCAAGATTCCATTGCTTTTTTCTTGATGAGTAGTACTCCATTGTGTAAATGTACCACATTTTCTATATCCATTCTTCCATTGAGGGGAATCTAGGTTGCTTCCAAGTTTTGATATTAAAACAACACTGCTATGAACATAGTTAAACATATGTCCTTGTTGTATGAATGTGCATTATTGGGTTATATGCCCAAGAGAGGAATTTCTGGATCTTGAAGTAAACTGATTCCCATTTTCCTGAGAAACCTCCATATTGCTTTCCAAAGTGGTCTTACAAGTTTTCACTTCCACTAGCAATGGAGGAGTGTTCATTCTAGAAGATTAAGTGTGGCTGGATTTATGATGAGGTTTTTGATCCATTTGGACTTTAAGTTTTGTGCATGGTGATAGATATGGATCTATCTGCAATCATCTGCAGATAGGGTTAGGGTTAGGGTTAGGGTTAGGGTTAGGGTTAGGGTTAGGGTTAATATCAGGGTTTTCAATTCATTTCCATTGGTCCATCTGTCTACTTTTGTGCCAATAGGAAGCTGTTTTCAGGACTATGGCTGTCTATGAGCTTGAAGTCTGGGATAGTGATGCCTTCAGAAGTTCCTTTATTGTACAGGGTTGTTTTGGCTATCCTGGGTTTTTTGTTTGTTTTTCCATATAAAGTTGAGTATTGTTCTATCAAAGTCTGTGAAGAACTGTG